ATGCAATGGCCGTGGCCACTTTGGGGCAAGAGCAATCTTTTGTGAGAGGGGGGGCGGTAGACCTGCGGCTCATGGATGGCGAATTCAGGCTGCAGGGAGCCAGCTAGGAGGGATGGAACGTGACTGGCTCGGCTTGTCTGCCGTCGACGAAGAGTTTGCTTCCGATAACAGTAAGTGCTATCATTCTTTTGTGCAGCTGGATGGTGCAATTGACGACGAGGAGGATGCTGCAAGATTGGTGGCAGAGATCATGGGAAACAAAAGGCCTGCACCAGAAGTTGAACGTGTGATCGAAGGTTTTTGGAAATGGTTTTCAAGAAAACGAAAGATGGGTGCATCAGCCCACAAGCAGCTTGCTTCTGTGATTCCTTCATTGCCTGTGAACATTTTGCGTGCGAAGCGAAGCATTCACGAGGTTTTTGAGGACGAAGTTACAGCGACTCCTGCTGTGGCTTTAGCTCAGTTGCAGAGGGCAGTGCGGGTGAGCCGCACCAGCAAGAGTCGCGAGGAAATGGAGGCATTGCTGCGGGAGAGATGGGCCATGGAGCTCGTGGTATACATCAAAGAATCTAAGCTGCCATGTGCTGACCGGATGGAGGCACTTGGAGATGGGAAGCAGCATTGGCTGCGTCTCTTCGGAAATCGCCGGGGGAAAACCCTTCGCAACCGTGCGCGTGCGTGGGCACCTGTGAGGGAGTGGTTGCAGGTCACTTATGGGGCCCCGTGGCCGAAGAGTCCAGAGGTCCTGCTTCGCTATCTTGAGGAACGACAGGCTATCAGAGAGATGGGGAAGAGTGTGCCGACTTCCACCCTTGCTAGTCTGTCACTTCTTGAAAGCATTGGCATGGTGGCAGAGGAAAACCGCTTGAGCAGCGACCCCATGGTGGTCGAAACGATTCGCTCTTGGACCATGGAGCTGGAGGCAGATGGGCCACCTTGCAAGCCAGCACCGTTGCTGCCTTTGTCAGCAGTACTGGCGTGTGAGATGATGGTGTGCCGCCCAGTTTACGAGTTAGGGCTCAGATTCACTGCATTTGTTCTTCTGCTGATGATCTGGTCGAGTCTTCGATGCGACGACGTGCAGAACATTGATCCTTCGAGCATCAAGCTCAGCCAGGTGGGTCTAAGGTTTGTGTTGAGAAAAACGAAGACCAGTGGGCCAGGACGCAAGGTGGGAGAGCTGCATGCTTTCGTGTCGAGAATTGTTTCCTTGAGCGGTTTTGATTGGATTGCCGAAGGGGTAAAGCTGCTCGGGGCTGAGACTCTTACATGGTCGCGCGATTTCTTGTGTCCTGCTTTCAACAGGGAGTGGGACACGCCCTCGAGGGAGTACATGAATGCCGAGGGCTTGGCTCTGCAACTGCGGAGGTTGTTGCAGCACCTCCCGACGCCAGTTCGTCAGCAGGGTGTTTGGAAGGTCTCTCGAGAGTTGCTTTTTTCCAGGGCAGCTTGCAAGTTTCTGGACAGGCCACAGTGCGCGACATGTGTTGACAAGCATTGCAGCTGCTTTAGGTGTCGGGAAGGACCGGCGCGATTATCTTGGGAGGTGGGCTTATGCTCAGCATGGTTCGCAGGACTACGTGCTCACCTCGAGGCAAGTGGTGCAAGGGGTCCAGAACTTCGTCTGCAGGTCACTCATCTTAGGGCATGAGTCCGGAGGCTACAGTGAGGAAGAACTCTTTTGGGCTGTCAAGGCGCATGCTGATAGCTTACTCTTGGAAGGGGCTGAGATTGTGAAGGCCAATGACCTGCTACAGTGGGATGATGTTCAGAGAACATGGAAGCTTGGAGGCGCGTATCCGAGCTTTAATGTGTCGCCCGAAAGGGCACGCCAGGCTGCAGGGGACATAGATGCTCAGCTGCCTGGGCCTTATGAGCCCTTCGAGGGCAAGGAGGATGGAGATGAAGCACCGTACTTCAGGGGAGGAGAATGCTGAACCGGAGGAGCCCGAGCCTCTTCTCCCGAGTTTCGGAACTTGATTGCGAAGGCTCTCCCATGTGTCGTTAAAAGTCTCGAGTGCTTCGAGGGAGCTGCGGGTGGAGTGCAGCTTGGTAGGGAGAGTGATTGCACTGCGGGTGGCGAGCAGTGTGTGTGCATCATAACGAAAGATGCCGGAGGAGTGCATCTTGACATGGTTCGCATGCTGCATGTTGCACATGCGATGAGTCCGGTGGCAGTGACTCAAGGGAAGATGTTGCAACCACAACATGTGTGCAGCATGGATTACACTTTGGTAGGCTGTGACTGTTAGGACAGTGCTGTCAATTGCGTTGCTCTTGCTAGGTGAGGAGCATCCTTGATCGGGGCAGCGCGCCCCCATGGCCACTGCGTTACCAGACGGGGTCTCGGAAGCCGATGCCCTGGATCATCTGGATAAGAAGGTGAGCTCTGATCTGGTGCACATTTTTCAAGAGTGTGGTGTTCCCTTGGGCTTGCAGTACAAGCTCACGCAGCATTTCCAGAATGTGAAAAGGTTTTCCACATATGCCGATTCCCGCGCGGAGGTGAGGACTGCATTAAAAGATGATCATGATCTTGAGGCGACAAATCAAGTGACGAGAGCTGCAGTGGCCTCAGTTGTGTCTGCGTGGGAGACTTCGAAGGAATTCGCTCATAAAGAATCAGAGCTTCGGGCCGAAGCACGGATGCTTGGGGTGCATCGGCCGGTGACCCAAACTGAGAAGCAAGCGATGCGCCTGGCATTTGAATCTGCACACGGCTCTTTAGAAGAAGCATTCGAACCATCTGATGATTATATATCGGCGAAGTTAGAAGAGATTGAAAATGGCGAGATCACTGCTAGCCCCCTGTCGGAGGTTACTTCGAAGAAGCGAGTGCGTACCATGGGCATACAAACAACAGTGGACACTGGAGGGCACGTCAGGATTGTGAAGCAGCGCAACAAAGGTGTCATGCCATCCCACACCGAGGAGCTGCGGACTGTACTACGTGTAGAGGGGAATGCATGGACCATGCTTGC